GGGGGGGGGTGTCCCACAATCTACCGCAAGCTTGGTTGTTTCTGGCCTCCCTGCCCTGAGGTCCCCAGCCCCTTGCTCCTCAATTTCAGACCTGATTCCAAACCAGGAGCCCTGGTGGCGGAGGGGGAAATGTGTTAGTTGAGAGAGGTCAGCAGTCTGAAACCACCCAACGATAGTCAATGCTTTCTACTCCCACTCCCGTGAAGAGCTGCAGTCTCCGACACCCACGGGGATGGTCCTACCCTCCTCTAGAGCCCCGACCAGTCTGAACCAGTTCTGTGGCTGTGAGCCTGGTTTTGTTCTGACAAGCAGAAACGTGGCCGGATGCACCCAGACAGCTCCCTGGAGCCTTTCACCTCCTGGTGGCGGACGTGCAGTGCCAGCCCTGGCTGACTCCAAGCCTGAGCTCTTTAGGCCCCAAAAAAACCTTCCTGCACAATTTGATCTCCTCTTGGAACGGGCCTGGAGTCCCCGGGTGGTTCTTGCACCCGACTGCTAACTGAAAGGCTGGACGTTGAAGTCCACCCAGAGGTGCCTTGGAAGAAGGGCCTGGCGATCCATGTTGGGAAAATCAGCCGACAACTATCCTGTGAGTCCAGATCAACTCGAGGGAACCAACTTGGGGCGAGGCTCTGGGCGCCTGCAGGAGGCACACGGATGTGGTGCAGCCCGCCTTTTCGTTAAAGATGCTGGTTCCGAAACGCATCATGTTTCTGCATTGAGTTGCAAGGACACACCACATAACCTGGACCATGCAGTCTCTCATTGTGTTCTCTGCGGTGGCCGTGTGGCAGTGGCCCCTGCCGATCAATACACAACAAGGCCAGGCCCATGGTGTCGGCTTCACGCGTTGCTTCATCAAAGACATACTCTCTCAATGCACATCCCTCTCATTCCTTGCTCTTCCTCTTCCCCTTGGCGGGGCAGACATTTAACTTCTCCCCCAGGGATGCAAACTTATTAGACCGGCTGTGACTGGTACATCTGGATTGGGGGGCGGGTGGCAGGCAGGGACCCTTGGCCTCATTCTCTGGGGTCACAGGTGCACTCATTTCAGACTTAGATTCAGGGGGTGGGGGTCTGTGGATGATGTAACCTCAGGAGCTCTGGCGGCTCAGAGGGTTGAGCATTGGGGTGCTAATCACCAGGTCAGGGGTTCAAACGACAGCTGTGCTGAGAGAAAGGCCAGGCTGTCTGTTCCCGTAAGGAGGTTGGGAACCCTAAGGAGCACTTGGCCTCTGTCCTATGGGGCCCTCGAAGTGAGAAGGTGCAGGGAGAGGATGTTTCTCTTTCTGTTGTTGTTTATGCTGAAGCCTTCCCTCTGCAGGCCACGGTCCAGCTCTGGAAGCGGTAGGCTTCTAGAAGGACAGCCAGTAGGGACCCCAAACAAGATTCCTTAAAGTGGGATTTGGGTACCACACGCCCTAGAAGCACAGAGGGATTTGTGTTGCAATGCAGATTCCTGGGCCTTGCTGCCTAGTCAGACTCTGGAGCAGGGGCTGGGGCGTGGGGTGGTGCAGAATCTGCATTTCAAACTAGAGTCTTTGACGATCCTTAGGGATCCTCTGCTAGGGCTTTTTATGGGCAGACACTTCTACCCTCCCCCCTACATGACCCAGTCACGCTACCCCCCCAAGGTGCTCTTGTGTGGGCCACCTCTCAAGGCGCCTTCTGGAGGGATCAGAACTGTTTTCGACAGATGCCTTTAAAATATGTGCACCTCCTGGGTCATGTAGCCCTGCCACCATCAGCCCCCAGAGGAGGTGAGCAAGCCCGAAGAAATGGCGGCATTGCCAGGGGCAGTTGTAAAACATGCCAGGATGATGAACGCCTTGGCCTGCCCACGAGGTTCCAGTCTGAAACTGGTGCCCAATGGTTTCCAGAGCTGCTTGAAAGGGCGAGCAGGCCCTTTCCTGAGGAGAGGTGTCACGGCAGCCTGAGTCGTTGGCAGCAGGAAGCGTCTGGCCTGCTGAGTGCACTGATAGTCTGGGGCGGAGCGGGGGGAGGCAGGCAGGGAGGAGGAAAGAGTCATGGGCCGGAACCAGAGTGTTACCCTGCTTTGCTGTGCGCCTTTAGGCAAGTGTGCTGGTCTCTCTGTGCTGCCGGTAAACCAAAAAACTACACTCACTGTCACTGAGTCGATGCTGACTCTCAGCCGCCTTATAGGACAGGGTAGAACTGCCCCTGGGGGTTTCTGAGACAGTGACTCTTTATGGGAGGAGAAGACCCTGTTTTTTCTCCCCAGGAGTGGCTGGTGGCTTCAAACTGCTGACCTTGCGGTTAGCAGCCCAATATGTAACCACTACGCCATCCTCTCACCTATAAAACCAGGGATAAATGGTGATGTGTTTAGGGGCAACGTGGACTGATACTTGCCCAGTCGGAATGAATAAAGAAAGGAGGGACTGAGAAGGAATAAAGGGATAGAGGGGTAATGAACAAGAGCAATAAAACCTTCATTGTCGTGTCTGTGGAGCCAGGAGCCCAGGTGGCACTTGTCTGCGAGGTCGTCTCTCCTCTCAGAGAGATTTACAGCCTCGTAAACCTCAGACGGTCGCTGTGAGTGGGAAATGACAGGCTTGGTTTTGGTTTGTGAGTGATGGTGTAGGACCAGACGGCACTTTGTTCTGTTGTACCTGCCAAAAGACTCACTGCATGCTAACTCACAGCAACCCCGTAGGATGGGCTGGAACTGCCCCGTGGGTTTCTGAGACCGTCACTCTCTCCGTATCCAAATTGCTGGCCTGGCGGTTACAACATGTAACTACTGTGCCACCAGCACTCCTAGGGGTACTGTAAGTGGGGATCAACTTGACAGCACTTTACATCGGAGGGTTTGGATTCTGGGTGGTGGTTGAGGCCACCCGGACTCATCGTGACCCTGTGGGACAGCCTGGAGCTGCTACACAAGGGCTCGGAGGCCTACCTCTTTACAGAAAGAGACAGCCTCATCATTCTCCCACTGAAGGGCCAGTGGGTTTGCACTGCCAACCTTTCCATTAGCAGCTCCGTGCTCACCCACAGCAACAACAGCAGTGATGGACATAAAGGTGTTCACTGGAACTCCTTCCAACTGTCTCTGTCTTTGGAAGTTTCATCACGAGATGTTAAGAAAACAGAGGTCAAAGTTCAGAACCAAAATGGACGTGAGGTATCGTTTCATGGATGAGCAAACTGAGGCCAGAGAAGGAGAGTCGCTTGGTCAAGGTCACTCAATGAGGAGCAGAGGTGGAACTAGAACTGAGGCTTCCTGTGTCCTAGCTCCCCACCCCAACGGCCTCCCAAGGACGCCCTGGGCTTGCAGCCAGGCACCTGGAGAAGATGCCTCTGGAAACAGTGAGGGGTGCTCCGCAGAGCCGGAGTTCTGGTACTCTGTCCCGGGTGTCGCCTGGAAAAGGAAGAGGTCAAATAGGACGGCGCTTATCATCTAAGCAGACCCTGACGGGAGGATTTTTCAGAGCCTCTCATGGGCTCACGTGTATTGAAAATGTTGAGAGACATAAGCTTCCCTTCCCCCTTGCACCCGCCCCTCCCCAAATAAATTGATCACAAACTCCAAAAGTCCTTTCTCTCT